TGTGATGTCATACTGTTGAAAGGAGATCTGCTGAAAAATTTCCATCTAATAAATGAAAAGAGTGATGCTTTTCTCTTAGAGCAGGATTTGGTCAACAATAGCCCCTCTGAAAAATCTGACCTGCCACTGTCATTATAAATTAAATTTTATTGGAGCATAGCCACACCCATTAGTTTATGTATTATTCCTGGTTACTTTCCTATTGCCATGACAGAGCTGGGTCCTTGTGACAGAGACTGTGTATCCCCAAAGCAGAAAACATGTATTGTCTGGCTCTTTATAGAAAATGCTTGCTGCCTCTGTCTTAGGGGGTGATGTTGGGGGATTTGCCTACATTCGTATACACACAAATTTGCATACACATCTCCATAGCTCACATGCAGTGCTTGGCTTACAACGGAAGCTCCAAGAATCCTTAGTTCCTCTTCTGAACTTAATTCTGCTCAAGAATACATAGGATCATATCTGAGAAATGCAGAAGCAGATGCATTTATATTTTTATTGAATTCTATTTCTTTTTCATTTTCAAAAGAAGAGCCCATGTTTTAAAGAAAATTCTGATTGGCACTATAAACTTTATTTATGCTTTAATGTATCCTAAAGTATGTATCCTGCACTATTTTTGCCTCCCGTACAGATACTGATATGCTATACATTACCAAATCCAAATGGATTTTCAAAATCCAATTTCCTTGCTACAGTTTTCCATTTCTCTGTTGACTTTTTATGCCTGACTCACATCAGAGCATCCGAGGCCTTTGCCATATTTTGATCCCAAAATGCCTAGTGAAATAGCTCTTCTGTGTGGGTGCAGGATATTTCCTGTTAGCTACTCTTCCCTGTCATGTTGCAATTATGTGGGTCTTCAAATCAGGCTGGGCCCTCTGGAGCCTAGTTTCTGGGGTTAAAGTAGATATTTTGTTTCCTCTCAACTGGGGTAAGACTTGACATCAGTTAAATGGACCCAACCACTTTTCATATGTTGGCATCCAAACACTGGGTTGTTTTTAGAAATCCTTCCAATTGAAAGCCACCCCTAAGGCAGCTTCCACAAACACCTGCAGTGAATGCTAAACATTTTTTGCCAGGTGTTATGGCCCCTAGGAATTGTAGCAAGATAGACAGATGCAGTTTTTGAAAGAGCAAGAGGAACTGCAATGAGATTCAGAGTTGTGGTTTTGAATGTTGTATGGACTGAGTCCAGGGGAAGCTTAACTTTCCTTTCTTATCCTCCCCTCAGCAGTTCCCAGTGGCATGCACAGTAGCAGAAGCTTGGGCTGGTAGCAAGGCTTTCCATCTCTGTGGCCTCTGAGAGTTTGCAGTTTCTTCTGAATGTCTGTAATACAAAGGTCTTAATACTAGAAGGTTCCTGTGATCATCTTGTTCTTGCGTACTAGGAAAAAAGAGGTTTCAGAGCTGAAGAAGCCTCATGGACTAGGAGGTATTATCTGGCCACCACTGTTGATTGCTGTCTGGGTGTATTAACTTCAATCTTGTGAACACTATTTCCCAATTTGTTAGTTAAAAAGAAGAAAATCAAGAAATGATGGCTTTAAAATGCTTGGTAAGCCAGGTGTGGTGCATGCCTATGATCCCAGCACAGTGGGAGACTGCAGTGGGAAGATCACATGTTCAAGCTGAGCCTAAGTGACTCAGTGAGACCCTGTCCTAAAATAAAAATACAGAAGAGCTGGGGATGTACCTCAATGGGCTAAGGGGTTCAATATCCAGTATTTCAAAAATTTGCTTATCATATATATTTCTGTCTCCAGAATACACTGAAACACTTAAGCTCTGGGTCAAGTCCTACCAACAGGATGAGTTATATAGGCCACGTGGCATTGGACCACAATGAGCTATCTTCTGGAGGTGCATACTGGGATAGTGCTGACAGTCATGAAATTGGCTGTGCATTTCCAACTTGATATTGGTTATGGATGTTGTTTTGCTATGAGATATGAAGTTTCTTTTAAGATTCTTTCTGCAGCAAAGTTCTTGTTTGATCTAAGCTCCTGGATGGGTTGTCATTTTGGTGATCAACTGGACTTTGATTGCATGAACACAGCATCCAAAATCTGGCCAATTTTTCTACTTAATATTGGATATCAGGAACCTGAGAGCCAAACATGTAACCCCCTTTTAACAAAGAGGCATGTGGGAAATCTTTGAGTGCATTTGCAACTCCCTTGTCCTGTCCTGATTTTCTTTCTTTTGCTGTAGTTCTGTACTTCCTGCTTCTATGTTGAAGCTGCCTAAGCTATACCACTGAACAGTGAGACATGTCTCTCACACTGTTCTAAGGTTACCCAAAACATGGTGGGGCACTGAACTTTACCTGGCCTTACTTCCTGCTTTGCTGGGTGCCCAGAAACTCTGTAGGAAAGTCATGATCCATGTGTACTGCCAAGATTCAGGTGTGTGTGTGTGTGTGTGTGTGTGTGTGTGTGTAAGAGAGGGAGACAGAGAGAGACAGACCTGTTTCTAGAGACTCTTCTGTAGGAGAGACATTAATGCTCTCATAAAGGATGACAAACTCCAGCACAACTGGCTGCAGGGCCTGAATATTTCAAAGAAATAGTGGTTTAAGATAGATTGCAAGGCTGCCTTTGATTTCTCTGTGAGGGCCTCCACAGCTTTGAAGGTCCTTACTGCAAGAAGGACTCCAGGACACATGGGACCCCGGTGTCAAAAGTCAGAGGGCTAGAAGGGAAAACCATTTTCTCAGTATATGCTGATTGAGTTCACTGGCATTCAGCAGAAGGGGCAAGCAAGGTGGCTTAGGAAATTGTTGTGAAGAGGAGGAGCTGTGTCCCAATTCTTGTGGAGCCAAGATCTGCTGGCAGTGAGTTGAGAGCAGCTTTCTACCTGTGATTGTGCAGAAGCAAGGATGTGAGGGCTGGGCAACTGGCCGGTAAACTAGGACTCTTTGTCACAGTGACTTTGCAGTGATCCAGGCCCTGGGCTGCCCGAAGGTTTACTTGTGAAACCTCCTAATTCTTGTCTAGAGGAAGGCAGAGAATCTGGGTAATTAAGCCATTAACTAACATTGATTAATTCGTTTCTCTCTGAGTAACAACAGCGCTGCATAAAAGCACCTAGGTGTGTGTGATCTGCAAATTTTGTGATCACATCCATTGCATTGGTCAGCTCGGTATCACTGTGATGTAGTACCTGACATTACTTAAAAGTGAGGTTTATGGTTTTGGAGGTTCAAGTCCATGGTCAGTTAATTTCCTTGCTGTGGGTCTGAGATGAAGCAGAACTTCGTAGAACAAGGGTGTGGTGGAAAAAAAAAATGCTCACTTCATGGCATCTGGAAAGCAAAGGGAGAAGAAAAAAAGTCAAAAGAAAGGAGTTAGTTATTGGATATAGTCCCTGCCTGCTTGCTTGCATTACCTGCCTTACCCAAATAGGCCTTGTCTCCTAATCAGCCTATTGAGCCATGAATTCATCCACAGATTAATCCATTGATGTGATTAGAGCCATCCTGATCCAGTTACTTCCCAAAAGTGAAGCCATCAGCTGGTAACAAAGCCTGCAGCACATGGTTTTCCAGGGACCTTTCAGATCTGAACCCCAACATTTGCTAATCCTGTATCCCTACACAGAACTGACTAACAAAAGGACCACTATTGAAAGTGCTTCTAGAATAAACAAGGGAATGGATTCCAATGGAGAGAACCAACTGCTTTCAAAACCTTTTTTCTTTCTGGTTCCCTCTCTTTATATTAAAAGACAAAAATTTGTCCTTCATTTGGGGGAATAACTTTCTCTCTGATCTGTTGGAAAGAACATGAGCTCTGTAGTTAGTTTGCCAGAGATTTAATCTTGGGCCCAACACTTTCCTTCTGTGTGGCTTGTACAGTTCATTTAGTCCACTGATACACCAATTACCTTATGTTTAAAGTAGGGATAAAAAGGACCCCACATGGTTGTGAGGATTAAGAAAAAGCATTATCAGACAGCATAGGCAGTCAGTGTGTAATATATTGCTTTCCTAGAGTAAATACTCACGAAAGCATACTTCTTAGTTATTTTTGAAAACTGTCACATTGAGGCATGACGCTTCTTATATTACTGAGAATGTACAAGGCTCTGCTGTGTTAACAACTGGATCTTAAGAAATCAGTGGTATAAGAAAACAAAGGTTTATATTTTGCTTTCCAGGAGATAAGTGTAGATACTGCTGGTCAGGTAGCCTTCTGGGTGGCTGTCCTCCACTAAGTGCATTAAGGATCTAGAGTCCTTCTCTGGATAATACTTCTCCACCACAGAATTGAAGGGCCTCACAAGGGAGAGTGAAAGGGCTGCTTTTAGGAGATTCCTTTTGTGGCTTTGTCTTGCACATGGTTGGCACCACTATAGAACAGGTCCCCAGACTTTGGGAACATAGTCTAGAGGCAAGGAGGCTTAGGAACAGTGTTCTGTGGATGCAAGAGGAACAAATGAAACCTTTGACACTGAAAGCCGTGACTGGGCCACACAGCCCTTCTCTCATTTAAGTCCACAGTCTGAAGGGATCTCAACTGGCTGCTCCCAGGAACACTTGGCATGTAGGCATCTTCTCTATAGCAGACATTGTGTGCGATGGGGGAGCGTATGGGTGTTTAATGGAGGGTGCTGGTGGTGTGATGAGATCTATGAGCATCAGAGAGACAGGGAAGGATGAAAGAAGACAGGCAGTGTAGGAAATGGGCCTTGGAGGCTGATGAGTAGGCTGTGCCAGATTATTCTTGCTGTTACTGCCTCGTGTCCATGGGCTGCCTCTGGAATACCCTTCCTTCTTCTGCTCCCCACTCTTGGAGACACTGCCATCTTCCTGATCCCTGTTAATTCTTCTCCTCTTCTTTCCCTGACCCTTCCAGAATATAACAGGCTCCTTTTACCCTGGTCACACAAGCATCTCCTAGGTGGAGCCTCCATTCTACATCACATACGGCTTTTAGTGTCACTCCGAGAGAATTTACCACCCAAATTCAAGGCATCCTGGTGGGAATCCAATGCGCATAACTTATTGTCAAACGGTGGATGGCTTGGACTTTGGGTTACATGGAAAAGTTTTAAACACTATTGGCAGTAACGATGTTCTCTTCCACGAGTTTGATTATCTGATTCCTCCAAAGTTCTCTTCTTATTCAATGAAAGATGATTTTTCAAACTGAATTTATAGAGCGGGAAATGGATATGGAGGCTATTCTGTCCCAGTTACTTTTTTTCATATGTTAATCGGTTTCCTCTGTATTGCAGCTGGGGAAACTGAGCCACATGGGTGTTGAGTATGTGACATAAGCCCACACAGCTTTGCAAGCTGAAGGATGGGTCTAGTTTTATTAGACTCTGCAGCAAGTGCTCTCTGTGCATCCCAGCAATCCTCCACATTGCAGGAAGCAATTACAGAGGCATGCCCTGGCATTCATTTTTCCTACTTAGAATGAGACGTTGCTGTTTACTTTCTTAGGAAGGAAGATTGAAATCAATGTAACTAGCTTTATTAACTTTTTAAAACAGGGGAGGGGTGCTGCAGATGCCAGTGCCTTTCCTGAGAGTGCCAAAGCTAATATAAAAATCCAATTTGCTCGCCTTTTTGAAAAAGTCTTCTCCAGAGTTTAAAATTCAAAGCTGTAAATGAAGAGTCAATGAGACGGGGTAACGAACCAGATTTCAGACACAGGGATATATTTACCCATCTCTCTTTTGTCTGCAGGAGGCTGTTCCTTTGACGAGCACTACAGCAACTGTGGTTATAGTGTGGCGCTGGGGACCAATGGATTCACCTGGGAGCAGATTAACACATGGGAGAAGCCAATGCTGGACCCAGCAGTGCCCACAGGTACGTGATCCATCAGGCTTGGGGATGTCACAGAGCTTTTCCAATGACTCACAGGGGAAGAACTTTCCAAAGATGGAGCTGTGTGAGAGGCCATAAGTAACTGAAGGTACTGTGTTCTCTGTCCCCAGAGTGAACTCTTCAGGATGTAGCGAGAGTCACATGTCACCTGAATTTGAAGACCTTTAGGAATTCCTTTAATGTTGAGATTCTAAACTCTAGCTATACATAAGGCATCACTACGTTTTGCTTGCAAGTTTGATAGCTCTGGGTTAAAAGCTTCCCTAAAAGGAGAAGAAAGGCCTACAGCAGAATTTGCCATCTTTTCTTTACTGTCAGCCACACAGACATGAGGTGGGGCTCCTAAAATCAGAATATTGTTCATAGTGTTAGTATCCTGATGTCCTGAATGCCAAGCTTAGCATTCACCCATGGGCTTGAAAGCCCAGTGTAATTCTTGATAGGTACTTGTGTGAGGCAAGCTCTGAGAGGTACACCTGATGTTCCTTAGGGCAAGTCCCTCTTGGTTGGAGTGAATGTCTTCTGAGGAGGGCATACATGGGTGAGGTGAATCTCAAAAAGGCTTACCTGGTGATATAAGCCAGAAAGAATTACAGCTCTTGGAAAGTTAAGATCACCCTCTGGTAGAGTTGGAAAGACCATGGTTGTTGGAGACAGACATGCTCTACACGTTCTCCATGAGTAGAGCCTCACATAGCTCACATTTCGTCTTGGTTTCCCACCACCCCTTCTTGCCACTTTTTTCCTACTCTTCTTTGTCAGCTTACCCTGGGCTTTACATGATGAAGTTCTTTGAGTTTCCTTGATACTCTTTCCACAGATGACCTCAGCAGCTGTCTGTACACTGGTAATTCCCACCTTTATGCCTCTGGCCTGCACATTTCTTAAGCACTTGACGCCTACACAGCCCACAGCCTGGCTACCGTGTATTTCCGGCAACCCTTTCAGAAGTGTGTTTTACAGATGCAACTAAGCTGGAGGCATAGAAGGTGGGAACCAAGGTGGGAGGCTTTGGGTCATTATTTCTGTCTATTCCTATTAAGGATGTACATTGTATCTGTTTCCCTTGAGAGTTGTCAGGAGCATAATAAAGCTGTGATGTGGTACAGAATTTAACCTTTCAGATTTCTCTGAGGATATCAGAGACCTGTTACAATCTCTGAGCTCTGTGGCTTGTCCTACCTTAACCTCCACCTGTGTCCAGTTCCACTGCCCTGTGCCGAATTTCCTCTAGCTTCTGTCAGTTTCCAGAATAGTCTGACACTACTGCCTCAGAAACTGCTACAACCTCAGACCTCTCTGAAGAACTCTTTCCTCACCCTCATTGTCCAGTACTTCCTCTTCCTACTTCAGTCTGGACTAGCTTTCTTTGTAGTGATTTTAACTGCACAGTGACATGCATTATAACTGGTGTTATTGGTTCATTGTGTGCTTGGCCCCTAGGTGAGATGTTTCTTGCAACTAGATACCATGACAGTGCCATTCATCGCTTTATCTTCAGTACCTAGTGCAGTGTGTCAGGCAGAGCGTGTAGTGAATGACATCTTGTTAGAAGGATGCATGGGTGGATGGGCAAATAGTCTTAATCAAGTCATCTTGTAATGCAGGAATGAAAGATAAACATTATCAAGGGCCTTTGGGCCCTATACTCACCTGTATACTCAACTGCTCACCTATTTTTTTTCTTTGCTACCGTCCTTCCCATTTTACAGATTAGAAAACTAAGATTGCAAGCAGCTGGGTGAGATTGCTTCTTCCTCCCATCCCACTGTCTCTCTCCAAATACATGATGCTTACTCCTAATCTTAATTTTTTCAGTCCCTCATTACAGCAGAGTGTCATTTCATAAATATTGGATTGTGCTAATACAATCTTCTGAGCTTTTCTAAATAGAGGCATTTGATAATGATCACTGAAATTATTCTGTCATGATGTGCCTGTGGATCTCAGCGGCTCTATATGCTGCTTAAGCAGAGAGGCATGAAAGTGAATTTGGATTAGGCGAAACAGTTTGTTCCTCTCATAGGGAAAGGCTGAAATCTTATTACTTCTGTACACCCAGCATTTTCTATCTTTTCTGAAATCTGGTTTGAGTCTATTTATTCAGACGTTCCATAGCCTTTTTTTATCGATCCCCTTTGTGTGACAAGCTATGGGTTCTACTTGGTCTGGGTGAATCCAGCCAGGTCATTTTGACATTTAATCCCTTCAAGGACCTGGCATAGAGATACAATCTGAATTGCTCACCATGGTCCGTGAGGTCTTGCATGATCTTGTGTCATCTCTGAGTCCTCTTCTTCTTTCTCAGAATGCTTCAGACATACCCTCAGCATTTTTGATTTTTTGGATTATTCAGTCTTTCCTGACACAGGTCCTTGGCATATGCCAGTGGCTCTTCCTGGGCATGATTTTCTCAACCTTCCCCCTGGATGATTTCTTTAGATTGCACAACTTCCAGCAAAGATCCTTCCTCATGTGTTGATCTAAAAGCCATCTCTGTTATCGATCTACTTGTAATATTTTGCTCCTTCATTTCAAAGCCCTTGCTATAGATGTATTCACAGACCATCTTATTTCCATCTAATATCATAGCTGAATAACCTGGGAGCCTCAGTCTTTCTTCCTCAGTTTCCTCATCATGAACTTGGGCACCAGAGTAAGAGTTCAGTGAAGGATACCTGTGTATGTGAATGCTGCACAGGGCAGGGCTCAGGCAGTGTTGGGTTTCCTAGATTCTTCTCTGATCTCTGCAGTGTGGGGGATGGTAGGTCTAAGTCCATTTTAGAGCCTTCCCCTCCTTCAAGTTCCCCTGTACCTAGAGCTGATCTTTGAAGAAGCTTCCTAGCAGGTAACCACCCATGGCCAGACATGGCCGGACAGGCCAGAGGGGCTTTCCCAGGGTGCATCACTGCCTGGATAGCATAGCTGCCTCCTCCAGCTTAACCCCCTAAGTCAAATGCTGCACACCATTTTCTCATTATATTTCTCTTCTTTCTCTAGAAGAAAAACATCAGGCTAGCATTCCAAGCTTCAGACCTACTTTCCCCCTTGTCACTTCTACTGGGGCTATCACAGAGGAATGAGGATTAAAGACTGTCTCTTCGGGACACTGTTGTGTTCATGGGATCCATGGATGTGACAGAAGTTAGCCTGGCCTTTTTCTCCATAGCAGCCCTGTCTTGCAGCCCAGAGCCTAGTAGGACCTGGTGGGGCCGATGGGAAATGCAAGTGCTGTAGGTGTCCTTGTTTCCTTCTAATGCTGTGTGGCATTGTTTTAAGGACCAACAATAAAGTAGGGTCCAATTTCAGGCAGTACTGCTAGCTGGATAGGAAATGTTACATTTTTTTCTCCCTTTTGTATCCACGTGACTCTGATCGTGAGCCCCTAAGGAGTTGATCTATTAAATTTAGGCACTGTCTTAGTTACCTTTTGTTGCGCACGACCTCGCCAGCAAGGAAGACGCAACACACAGCTCTTCCTTCAGCGGTTTATTCAGGCCCCTTACAGCAAGCTTCTTCTTTTCTCCAATCCCCCAGCCCTTGGCTAATATATACTCCCGAGCCCAATCCCAGTGCGCCACGTGGGGATCGCCCATGGGTCCAGCATATGCGGAAGCGAATCATGACTGCAGCCCTGGCCATATAAGGAGTTGTTGTGCACAGAGAGCGCTCACCCACGGGGGGGGGGGGTGGAAGGCGGAAACCAGCGCCATCTTGTAGGCGCGATCCTTCGCAGCTCTCCACAACCTTTATCACCGCTAAGACAAAATACCTGACACCCAAAGTTAAAGGAAGAAAGGTTTATTTAGTTCGCAGTTTTTAGAGGTCTCAGTCCATAGTTGGCTGGCCCCAGGCAGGGTGGCAATGACAGAGGGGCAACTATTCATGAAATTGCTGGACAGCAAAAGCAACAAGAGAGAAAAGGCCAGCCTTTTCTGCCCCTTACATGATATCCTATCTACTGGGATTAGGGCGGTATCCATCAATTCAGTGGGATGATTCAGTAACCACCCACCCTCAATCTCAGCACTCTTAATCTTAGCATTGAACCATGACTCAATTGCAAGCTCTAGATTCAGCTACCAAGAGAAAGCTCCCTCCGAAGGTGCATGAGGCTGCGGGGGACATCTATACACCAATAGGCACTCTTGGAGCATCTCCTTTCCTAGGGTTCTGTGAATGAGCAAGAGACATAAACTAGTACATTGTAATTTCCTCCCTACATTTCTGGTGGTCCCTTTGTCATTCTTTTGCTGCCTTATAGGGCTAGGAGCCTCTGTTATATGGGTTTCTCCAGCCCCCAGGACCTACCCAGAACCTCTCCTGCGAGTTCCCCTTTCCCAACAGCCACTGAGCAGGATGAGACCAAATGACACTGCTCTGTGACCTTCCCAGGATAGGAATTTTCCTCTCCCCCCACTTACCCCTTAAAGGCAAACCCTATCTGTAATCCAGGGCATATTCTCTGTAATAAGTTTAGATTTTAATGACACAATAACAACAAGAGAAAGGAATTCTTCAAGCAGCTTCATCTCTTTGCTTGTCCTGAACACTTTACCAGAGAAGAGAAATACAGAGCCTGATGGTTGCCTGATGGAAAGGACAAGGACCAGAAAAAACTGAGGGAGAATGTCTTTACATTCATTCATGGCAGTTGGAGCATTTCAGCCCATCAGCCTGTAGCAGGAGCAGGTATCATTTCCGGGATGCTTCTGCACTTCCCTTGGGCTTCCCTTGGCTATGTATCTCTGCACTGGTCTAACTGCTGATGTTTATAGCCCATGGTATCTGTCTTGGACTAAATTGTATTCTTTCAAAGGACGAGTTGAAGTCCTACTCTGGTTGCTTTGAGTGTGATCTTATTTGGAAATGGGATCCTTACATATGTAATCAAGTTAGGACCACGCTGGCTATACTGGACCCTAATGCAGCATGATTGGTGGAGGCAGAGACTTCCAAAGATATGAGGAAGGAGGCTGCAG